GAGTTTTCTGGCTGCAAATGCAGAACATGTAGATCACATTAGATACGAACCAAAAGCCATCTTTTCGATAAGATATTGTAAGGCCCAATTTGGACAGTTCGGATATATTGATTGACCATAGCGCCCAGCTACAATCCTAAACCACTTATAATTATGTAATAATTCATATGATAACCCAATCAAATATCTTACATCATTATTATGACAATCGTAAGGCCCCGTTTGTGTTTTGGTTGCCTAGACCACTTATAAGTATGTAATAATTCATATGATAACCCAATCAAATATCTTAGATGATTATTATGACAACAAAATCGTGAGGGCCCCATCTGAATGTTTTGGTTGTCATATCCAAGGGACATCTTTAGTCGGCTTTATGGGCAACTGTGATAAGAGGTAAGACACAGGGGTCATAACAAGTAGAACAGTATCCACTTTTTTGCTGATAGAGAAAAAAGGTATTTTCTTTTGTATCCATGCGTGCAAATGCCCCTTTTCACTGGGTTTTTGCTAATAAGAGGGGTTCCAAAAGTTTAAAACCTCTGCAGATGGTGGTGTGCCAAGCTGCACACTACCCACTCGGGCACAACTACCGAGAAGTGAAATCTCTAAGGCCAAAAAGTGAGGCCTAAGATAATCTACACAACAACCTATAACCCTCACACAATCGGCATTCCTTGTTCTTTGAATTCAATAGATGTCTTTGATTGATTTCTCTCAAAAATAAAATAAAATTAGATGTCTTTGATTAATCTTAACTGTTTATTTCACACTAATCCATTTATTTTTTATTGTGTTGATTAAATATTTTGCCTCTGCCCACAAGCAAACATTTAATGAACAAAATGTAAGTTGTAGGTAGAAACAATGTCAACTTTCTAATCTCAAAGAATGCCTCAAATCAATATTGATCTCAACAAAATATGAACGCTATAAGCAACTAAATGTCAATGGATATAATGGCACCATAACTTTGAGCTATTTTGGCATAACAGACATGAAATTGAACATTTCAACTCATTATTCCAAAATTGTTACACGAGTGCTGCATACGATATCTTGGACAACCACTAGAGGCAATGGATATCAAAGAAACAAAAGTAGAATCAGCTGATTTTACAACAGACAATAGGTTAAAGGCTATTCAACCAGTATTCATAAAATGGAAAAACAGAGGAGGACCATTCAAAAGCAAAAATCATGAAAACAAAGGTCTCAATTTTATAGTTCCAAAAAAGGTTATGAGGAAGATAGAAAACCTTTGATTCAACAATCAAAAAGCAAGGAAGCCTCCATGGAACCCATGATCATAGAATCATTTCTGGGTTGCCCTTGCTTTCTTCATAGATCCGGCGCAAGTAATCTGCCTCTTCTCCAAAACACCCCACAAATTTTTGCAAGAATCTCCTCTCCGACAACAAACAAACTGATGATAATTTCACATCCTTCTTGAGCAACTTCTTCAATCTCAAAGCTTGCAAAACATTGTTCCTAGGTATCACCCTTCCCCCCAAGCTAAAACCAAGAATTTGTGGATTCATAATCAAATTGAACAAAACATCCTCTTGTTTCTTAACAAAATACCCCATTGTTTCCTTCAACTTCTTCACCGAGAGACACATTGTATAAGGTGCCCTCCGAAATATTGAAAATACATGATCTTGCGAGCACCCAAAACTCTTAAAAATGTCAACTTTTGCCTGCCATTTCTCGTTATTCATCGAGCTGAATGCATGAAGAGCATGAGCAAACATCAAAGATTTCGGATTAAAGCCCATCTCTATAATTTTCTCACAATTTTCCTTAGTTCTTTTGGGGTTTTGAGAAAGCAACCTAGGATGGACGATTGCCAATTGTTGCAGTTGTGAGGGACCAACTCCATAGCTCTCTATGCACCTCATATTGGGTAGGATTCTTTCCTCAATGCGAAATGAAAGTACCCAATTACTTCTCAGAACTCTAAGAACATTTTCATTGGTTTTCAAATAGCTTTTGAGGAATTCGATGATTGGGGCGATCCTCTTCTCTGCACTGTAATAGACCATGAATGCACGTGGAGATAGAAACTCCCCGAGATCAGGACCAGAGACACCCAAATCTTCAAGCATTTCAAACTTGGGTTTTAGGGTTTTCTCAACACTGGCCACCAGAATCTTGGGGCTCTTCGTTACAATGGAACAGATATGGGCATCATGAAAACCAGAGTCTTTGAGGAATTTTAGCACACATATCGGATTTTTGGTGGGTTTGTTGAGGCCCAACCGGGAAGAAGAGGCAACGGCCAAGGCTGATTCTTTAGAGAGGCCAAGTGAGTCCACTAGAAGATTAACAATCGAAGAAGAAGAAGAAGAAGAAGGAAAAGCACTTAAGAGGAGTCCATCTCCAGTGAGAGAAAGAGACGAAGTAAGAAGAGAGGTTTTTGTGGAATAGAGTTCAAAGGAAGAAGAGAAAGAAGGAAAAGGAATGAGAAGGGAAAATACATAGTGGGGTTTCAAGAGAGAGAGTGCCTGGAGTTTTGCCAAAGCCATTACTTCGAAGACGCTATAGAAACACCATTGAAGATGGAGAGAGAGATTTGTGACTGGTAAAGGAAAGGAAACAGTGGAGCTGGTAGAGAGAGAGATCTTGAAGGGTTACAATATATTTTAGAGAGAGAGAGAGAGAGAAACATACCGAGAGAGGGAGGAGCATGGGCCGTTTCTCACTCCTCTTCTGCAAATACGCCGCTTCCTCCCCCCATCCGGAAACAAGGGTTTTTGATTCAAGTTGAAACAAGTGGGAGGGAGACACAGTTTGTGACTGAGAATTGAACCCGAATTTTCCTAGAATTTGCGGATGTGCCCTTCACTTAAAAGTTAACTTATTAATTATGCCTCGAGTACTGTTTAAAAACTTGCTTATGTGGATTGGAAATCGTTGATCCGAATTGTAGATCACCAATTCAGATTGAAATTTTTTATTATATTGGATTGTACACAAAGCGTGTATTTTTCTTTTGTATATAGATGTCATAACCATTCCCACTTATTAGATATCAAATTGAATTGTTTGGAGTGAGTCACGAAATCTGAGAATATTTTTTTTTTTTTGAAACTTTGCGTCTATTCAATAACACTCTTACAGCCACAAAAATGATTATGTACTCTATGTACAAAAGATAAATGGTCTCTTTATAGACAATTCTTAGACAAAAAAAGAAAATGGTCTCA